TTGCCATAGACGTTGTCCTCGAACAAAAGGTTGATAATTCTTGGCAACCCTTGGGATTTTTCTCCAAAAAATTCTCACCTGCACAACAATGCTATAGTGCTTATGACCTGCTAGCTATTTACATTAGTCTAAAGCTTTTTCGCCATTTTTGTGAAGGACAGGATCTTATGATAAGGATTGATTACAAACTCTTAGTCTATGCCTTCCAGCAGAAATCAGATAAGATATCTCCTAGACAACAACGTCAACTGGATTTCATCAATCAATTTTCACTCGAATCATCCACGTTGCTGGAAAGGAACTCCGTTGCTGATAGCCTATTGAGCAAATAAATTTGTTAATTATTGTCACTATTGAAGAACTAGCTAAATATCAAGAGAAGACAAAGAATTCAAACCCTAGTTGACAATAATTCTTCATTATCACTATCGCTCTCAAAAAAAATTACATTGCAGCGACAGCAACATCACTTTGTTTTGTAACACGTCAGCTGTGAAACATCCGGCCATATGTCCCACAAGTTCTAAGACGTCAAGTTTTCAATGTAGTCCATAACATGGCGCACTTAAGCATTAAATCCACACAAAAGTTAATCGCGCGTTATTTTGTATGGCCTTCTATGCGTAAAGATATTGCTGATTGGGTCCGCACTTGTTTAGCATGTCAGCGTAACAAGATCTTTCGTCATGTTAAAAATACTCCAAATAAGATTGCAATACCAGATGAACGATTCAGACATATTCATATGGACATTATTGGCCCATTACAACCTTCAAAAAATTTTGAATTTTAACTTATTATTATTATTGATAGGTTTACGCGGTGGCTGGAGGCCATCCTCATCCACCTCAACAGACACTATAATTAGTGCATTCTACTATACCTGAATCGCCAGATTCGAAGCTCCATCTACTATTACCATTGATCGTGGAATATAATTTGAATCGCGTTTATTTTAGCACAACTCATCGGTGCTAAAAAAATTCATACTACAGCGCAATTCATGCTACCATCCCGCATCTAATGACATGATTGAACGTTGGCACCGGACATTAAAAACTGCAATAATATACCATAATAACCGCGAATGGATTCTTCCGTCATGCTCCTGGGACTGTGAACTAATATTAAGGATGATATAAATCCCTCTGCAGCAGAATTACTATACCTCATTCTGACTTCTGAATAAATTCTTTTTAAATATAGAGTAAACTAATCCTCGATTATTTTTAGAACATCTTAGACAATCCATTCGTTCAGTTAGGTCTATTCCTATTTAACATCATAGGAAGGACAAATCTTTTTTTTATCGAGACTTCAACCTCTGTACACACGTTTTTGTTAGGGTAGATTCTACAAAAAAGCCTCTGGAATTCCCTTATGAAAGTCCCTTCCAGGTTTTCCAACGAATTTCAGACAAAGTTTTTAAAGTGGACTTTGAAACCTTCAATAATTTCTACTGAGAGATTAAAACCCGTCTTTTTTGAAGTTACTCCCCAACCACAAGCAACATATGGAAATCCTACCTGCACCTCTCCGTACTCTACATACCTCTACATACCAATGATCTAAGAAAGTTCAATTCGTATCTTAAATTTTTAACTCGGAGGGGAATACTTGGCGTTCTCGAACACACCATAACTGGTCATGTTGGCAAACCTGGCTGAGAAAGAAAATTTACCCGGTTTCTAGTTACACTTCGTTCAATTATTCTTTCTTCTTCTTACAATTTTATCGTTACAAGACAATAAGTATAGCAACTATTAAAATAAAATTTCTGAACTAACCGTTTTTTATTAAGAACGAGTATTTCTTTATTGAAAACATATCTCCATAAGAATTTTACAATTACAAGTTTTTGGCCATCAATATACGATACAGAGAAACTTCTTATAGCTCTGACACAGAGCGCGTCGCGTGCGACACGCGATATTCAATGAGAATAGGGCCTGCGCACAATAGGGGAATAGGAATAAATATTAGATATTAGGGTTACGTTTCACAAAACTTCCTCTCTGAAGAAAATTTTACTCGAAATATATAATACATGTAACGCATACTGTAGAGTAAAATCTTCCTCGGGAAGTTTTGGAACATGGTCTAGGAATAAAAATTAAGAATAGAGATTAAAGGTGCTTTCCAGCAAGGACACAGTCAGGCACAGAGAATCGTTTCATTCTTGTTTATAACGTAAGCAAACAACAAGGATATAATGATTCACTGTATTATACTGTGTAAGGCACAATATGTTTAAATGAGATATAAAATATAAATGTATCATACATCTCATACCATCTCATACAGATACAAATAACCTTTTTATTCTTCATGAAGGATATCGTATCTATATATGAAGTATATATGAAGAGTATAAAATAAGTTTTAATCAATAAGCAAAATAAGTAATTGCAAAGAATGGTAAAGAAAGAACAATAAACAAAACTAGAAGTTGTGCATGCAAAACTTAAAGATATTGTGTCTGTTGATCTGTTCATGTTGATATCATAATCTCATTGTATTTAATCTATAAAACAGTGTTAAAAATTATAAAAATTATCACTGAAAAAAATTAGTCGGTTTTATTATCGTGTATAACAAATAAAAGTATGTTAAGAAAAAAAAGCATAAGAAATGGAGAAAAAGATGTTGGTGGGTTCGTTTTATTCAATTTACAAAGGGATATTTTTTATGATTAAGTTCAATTCCAGTCAAAGAATTTAAAAAGAATAAAAATCTTTTTCCGCTACTAGGATAGAATTAGAAGTGTACAATAATCTCATTAGAAGTGTACAATAATCTTTTAAAAAAGATATCGTCAGCAATAATGAAAACTAGTTTAAGAAAGCTATCAATTCCAGAACAGCGTTTATTAATAATGTTAGGGTATTTTATTTAATTACATCGTGATACAATCTTCAATGAACAGATAAATAACAAAATATCTGTATAACACAAATATATGCTTTAGTTAACGATAATACTGTTTCATAATGTTACATTGTAACGCAAATATTTCATCTTACGATAATATTGTTTCGTATGTTTATGTAACATAAATAAAATATATTCTTTATCTGACAATAATACTGTTTCATAAAAATATTATGTCTAGTTAATGCAAATAAAATACATATTTTATCTAATATAATACTGTTTCATAATATATGTTTCATAATATATACCTATGTAACGCAAATAAAATATATGCTTTTTTTTTAATTTTATAATAATACTGTTTCATATAGTTTTATAACATCTATGTACGCAAATAATATATGAACTTTAATAATGATACTTATAAATGATAATGATAAATATCATATAAAATTTAATTTATTATATGCTCCATGATAATATTTATTAACTTCCTTTTTAGTTTTGATTTTTGTGGTTTTTCGTATTCGTGGTCATTAGTATTTCGTAATTTGGCCAAAATCATATTTGTTAAAGTTTCATTTGTATCATTTACATTATCATTTGAAAACATTTGAGCTGCCATTGAGATACTAAACAAAGTGATTTTTCCAGCACATCAGGTAATTTTTGAGATTTGTAGAGAAGATAAGAATATTTGCTGAATCAGATCCTGTGGGTGATGTCAGCATCGTAAACATAAATGATTCAGTTTGCAGATCATCCTTGACATAATAAATTAAAAATCAAAATTAATATCTAAATATTTAAAAATTAATAGAAATATTTTCAAATCATAAAATTTCATCACCTTATTATATCACTTAGAGGTGATCTGTCCACAATCTTTTTCTGCAATCTCTATATTACATAAATCCAACAATATTAAAGATAAATAAATTTATCTGTAGCAAATCTAAATTTGGTTTAAAGACTAAATTTAACTTAGAGACTTGCCAATTTTTTTATTAAAATTTTTTATTAAGATTTAATTATTAAAATTTCACTCTAGAAAACAATATATTGGGTTATTTAAAATATTTTTAATATATTTTTTTCAGTATTTTCTATAAAATGAAAAACTAAATAAAAGTAATTACAAAAGTAATTACAAGGCTTTTATAATTCAATTATGAAAAAAGATGAACACACAACAAAAACCATGAAAGTTAATAAAAAAATATTTAAACAATAATTGCAGTGAAATTATGAAATATTTGTTATGAACATCAATTTGACTCTAATACCTAACTTCTCGTAATCTTCAAATTAGAAAAAAATTTTCAAACAACTCAATATATGTTTAATATGTAATTTATTTACAAATATGCTATAATACGGGGTCTACAATCGAAGTTATAGTGATCGTAGTCTTAAGTCGTAAAAAATTAACCAATCACAATCGAATATGAGAAGAATAATTGACTATGATTAATTTTTTACGACTTAAGACTCTATGAACATTGCGATTTTTATTGTAGACTCCGCATGATAATTAAAAATATACTAATATATTATAATAATTTCAAGATATTATTATAACATATTATGTCAAGGCTCTGTAAGTTAATAATATATCTCTGTAAATAAAGAATATATGGACTATCAATAATGAGACAATGAATTAAAGGCTAATGAAAATAATGCATGATTAACAAGTGCAACAAATTAATCATATTAAACTATACTGCATCAAAAAATTTTTTATTATAATTATTTGAATGTTACAACTAATTTTGGAGTCTTCATCAGTAAATATTACACGTTTTAATTTGCTATGCTCAAAAATTACTTATAAATTGTCAAATCCAAAGTGAAAGAAATAATCCTTTGATAAATAATCTTAGTATGAGATAACTGCAAAAACGAACATGTACATTGTAACACAAACAAAAAAACATAATAAAAAATCAAAAGAACTTTGTAATAAGATAAATACCTATATATATTGAGCTGATAAAACTCCAAATAATTATAACAAAAAAATGTTTAATGTAGTATAGTTTATAATATATTGTTAATTTTCGAGCTTATTAACATTATTCTCATTTGTTTAATTATGTTTAAATTTAAATATTTACTGTTTGTTTCTCACTGACTTATATTTAACTGTGAGGGTTCATTTACAGTTCTGTTGATGTTGATATATCTTCTCATCTAATAATAAAGATAATAATAAAGATAATAATGATATAATAATATAGTGATAATAATATAATGATGATATTATAATAATATATAACTTAAATACTATAATAATAGTTATATTAACATATTATTATAAATATTATAATAATATAACTTAAAAAGAAATATACGAGTTGCTCATTTTTTAAAATACTTAAATCTAATGATAATAGTTAATTATATGAATATTTTAGTATCTTTAGTTGTACACTGGATACTTTTCAGTAATGTCATAAACAACACTATGTAACAATCCAGTGCTTTCCAACTGATACAAGTTGAACTCAGCTATTAGCTCACTCAACTGTTATGATTGTGTCAACTTGCGTCATAGTTAAAAAATACATTCTTGTACATTCTTTTGTTAGTGTTGCTTGTGTACATATATTGTTGAAAAGCATCTATATTGTCTCTTAACCAAGTTCTGTTTTTCTTGTATAAAAAGGATGGATTTATGAAATAGACAAATTTTGGAAATAGCAACTCATCAAAATCAAACTCAATCAAAATAAAACTATTAACAAGTTCACAACAAATAATTTACAATTTTAGTAAAAAAAAAATGGAATATTACTTTCTTTTGTATATGTGCTTGTTTATAAATGACATTTGCTCATATAATTCCCATGGTCTCTTCTTTCTAGGTGCAGAACCTTGATATATTTTCTTGGCTTTGTCTTTCCTTTGAATAATACTGTCATAAATCTACACCATCGGCTTATACATTTCTTTACTGAAAAGTATAGATATAGTATAGAATTTATATTATTTAGCAGCGTTTATAACACAAATTATAACCTGTAATGTATGACAAAGTCTCACATTTTAATATAATGTAAAAATTCAATGCCAGCAATATTTTATTTTAACATATACAAATAATTATTTTTTTAATAAAAAGACATTTAAAAGACAAGACGGATAAATACATTACAGTAGCTATTTCTTGCCAAGAATTGTCACATTTATTTACATGTTTGTAATCTTTGGCTGCGTTCCCTTTCATCATTTATCCTTGTTTAACATTCAATGAATAACCAGAATAACAAGGATAAATAATGCAGCATGCGCATCACGTGAAACGCAATCTTTATCTTGTTTGTTCCATGAAGGTATGATCTTATTAAGTCAATTAATAACGTCTCTTCTTTACATTCATCCACATTTTCATTTTCAATGTCATTTTGAATATTATGGCGAATTCGATTGAAAGAACTAGTGCGCACTGATGCATATTAAAGCTGTTGTACACTGATTTGAGTATAAAAGTGAAATGCAAATATTTCAAATTATAAAATACATATTTTACCTATAATAGTACAATAAAATGTATTGAGTATTTCAGGATTTAATCGATTTTTCTATTCATGTACAAACATACCTTTATGTTATTTTGTGTACAACGGCTTTAATGTGCATCAGTGCACTAAGTGCGCCCAATTGAATTCACTATTAGAATTAGGTCCTGCGCACAATAGAAGGAATAAGAAATTAGAAATAAAGAATAAACAATTTCAACTTATCAGAAACCGTGTGTTCCGATGTATCCAATTTCTGATAGATTAAAATCGTTTATTCTTTATTCCTAATTCCTTATTCTTTCTATTGTGCGCAGGATCTTATTTTCTATTACGGAATTCGTGTAAGTATGGTCGGCCATGTTTAGAACTATTAAATTAATATCTTATTTCTAATATTTCATCCTTTTTATTCGTAATTCTTTCGTTGTGCGTTGATTCAATCCATTGATTTTAAAACAAAATAATTCCTAATTCCTATTCCTAGGCTACGTTCCAAAACTTCCTCTCTGAGAAAAATTTTACTCGAAATATATAGTACACGTAACGTATACTATAGCATAGAGTAAAATCTTCCTCGAAGAGGAAGTTTTGGAACGTAGCCCTAATATCTGATATTTATTCCTATTCCCCTATTGTGCGCAGGTCCTAAGGCTGTATTTTTGATTCGAGTGTTGAGCGTCAGCATGAAAATGCAGTCTAATTCTTTTTGTTCCGTGATTCTGAACGCATATAGTACTATGATTTACACGTAGAGGTGCTAATTGTTTTTCTTCTTGACTGAAACAACGATTTCTAGATGGCGTACGAGTTTGTTTATAATTACTTGTACAAATAATCTAAATGCTGTCAAAGTCGAAACAAATTTTCCTGGCAGTGTTAAAGTCGGAGAGAATATCTTCGCGAATATGGATAAACTATCGAAACCGCAAATAATTTGTCATATTGAAAAATCAGTAGACTATTCGCTGTTTGATGCAAAGTGGATACCATGCAGCGCAAAATTTGTGGTTATGGGTTCTCGCCCTCGTGGTACCGGCATTATACAGATTTACGAGGTGTCTAGTGGCGAATTAAAGCTTGTCAAGAATATAGAAAGATCTAATCAAATAAAGTGTGGAACATTCAAAGCATCCAGTCTTCGTGATAGATACTTGGCTACTGGTGATTTCAAGGTTTCTCTTATTCTAACATATCTGTTGTGTTCAGTGTTCGAGAAAATTTTAATTGCGACATTTGATTCATAAATTACAAAGGCTAATTTTACAGGGTAAATTAAATATTTATAATTTGGAAGATCCTTCAATACCCGTTTATTCGGTTAAAGCTCACACACAGATTATAAATGCCATTGATGGAATAGCAGGTGCTAGTATAGGATGTGGAGCACCAGAATTAGTAACTGGATCTAGAGATGGAAGTGTAAAAGTATGGGACCCTAGGCAAAAGAATCGACCAGTTGCTGTTATGGAACCTAAGGAAGGAGAAAGTCGGCGGGACTGTTGGTCAGTTGGATTCGGCAATTCTTATAATTCCGAAGAAAGAGTAGTAGCAGCAGGATATGATAACGGAGATGTTAAAATGTTCGACTTAAAGGCCATGTCACTGAGATGGGAAAGTAACTTGAAAAATGGAGTTTGCGGTCTTGAATTCGATAGAAAGGACATTCCCATGAATAAGCTAGTTGCTACTACACTAGAATCCAAATTTTATCTTTTTGACTTGAAGACTCAGCATCCTAAAAAAGGTTTTGCTTATCTTGTTGAAAAGGTATTATTTTGAAATATTAAAAATTAATATTTATCTTTCTCTATGAATATGTATTTATAATCTATCAACTGCATTTTAGGCACACAAATCAACGGTATGGCTAGTTAAGCATTTGCCGCAGAATCGTGAATTATTTGCGACATGTGGCGGTGGGGGAACGATTTGTCTTTGGAAATAGTAAATATAATATGTTTGTTTTTATAATTACACAATTACATTACATCCTATAAAAATGTTTGAAAATCCGTTGTTTATCGTTTTACAGTAATTATCCAGAGAAAAGAAAAGTTACGGATGCTGATGGTATTGAGCAAGGAATTATGGGCAACATTAGTTTGCTCCAGAACTGTACGCTCTCGTCGCAACCTATTAGTTCTTTGGATTGGAGCCCGGACAAACAAGGACTTGCTATTTGCACATCGTTTGATCAATGCTTACGTGTTATTATCACTACGAAACTGAATACATATTGATTAAACAACGCAAAGAAAGTACATGTAAATATGCCTATACCAGTGAAAACAAAAAGTTGACATTTTAACTTTGTACGCTTAAGATAATTATTAAATAAAGTTTTTTTGTTTTATATGCAACTTTTTTTATGATGAAATAGTTAAATAATAGGAATAACGCACTTGTTAAATTCGTTTGTTAAATAGCATCTCGATTTATCATGATTGAATTTGAGACATCGATTTTTCATTTGCCAACTGCAAAGTACATTATGCAATGGCTAGCAGAGACGAGAGCGAATTATGTGTCATTGGGCCAATCTATTTAGGATCGGACCCTTATTAAGCATCGGCCATTTTGCGCACGAACGTGAATGTTACGCAATATCCCGAGCGATGTCCGCCATTTGAGATGCGTTCGACCCACGCGCTGTCGCTTGCACCTCGATTCCAACGACAACGCGTGAGGGCACAGCATTGCAACCGCGCACGCAAGGTCAGGAATACCTCGGCTTTAATTATATAAATTAGACGTTGCGTCGCCAAGTCCATCTCTCTCACTCGCTCGTCGCAATATATATTTATACTGTTAGATCCTGCGTCCTTTCGCATCCAATACAAGTCTGAATGACTATATCTTGTTCCATCATTTTGATCGTACAAATTAGGAGTGCAAAGAAATTTAATTAAGACAATCGCATATAATTTACATCACGATCCATTTTTATTCAAAACATTTTTCTTTTCATTTTTTATAAAATATTTTCTGACAAGACATATTTTTTTCTATTCCTTATTGCAACATGAGTACTAGTATTGGATATTTTCAAGGGAAGATTTCGCACCTTTTGTGTGTGTGTGTGTGTGTGTGTGTGTGTGTGTGTGTGTTGTGTGTTGTGTGCGCGCATATGTGTGTGGATATATATAACAAATTTCTTAATTAGCTCAGCACAAAATGGCTGCACTCGATTTGGACGCTCACGTGCTTATAATCATCCTTTATCGTTTAGACGTAATAAAAAATGGAAGTATTCAAAAGCGTTGAAAGTGTCCAAATCAACCGCAGCCAATGTATCCATTGAAAGTTAAAAAAGATGAATCATATCAAAGGAATAGATTGCTATTCTGGGAGTGTACAAGTGTCGGTTGGCTAATTACATAGCGGAATATACGTGTATATGTGTATTTACAGGAGTATATGTGTGTATATACGAACACGTGAACAAATAGAGAAGTATATGCAATACCTGGTTCCTATTTTTGTTTCTTGATGGCGCACTTGATGATGCACTTTGCAACGAATTGGTCAACATCCAAGATTTGCATTGCTTTTCCTGTATAATCCCAACTATAATCAACGCGATTTAATCTTTAATGGAAAGATTCAATTCTTTAGAAAGCTTGATTCTTTATTAAATATCGAAGTAATTATTAGTCGAAGTAGTTATTAGATGTCGATAAGTATTATATTTTTATGTGATTTTTCATTAATTGTATTAATTTTTCGAATTTTTAAGAGAAATAATTTCTATTCAAAAAAATAATTCAATTCATAACTTAAAACAATCTTTCCATTTAAAAATTATTCCATTAAACAAATTATATTATTACTGTTCCACATTTAGCAAATGGTAATAATTGTAACACACAGGGATCGGTAAATAAAAAAGATTCCAACATGAAAAATATTTATATTTCCCTTAATTTTCTAATAGTAATTTTGGCAGTAGTAAACTTACTTAATATACATATATAACTTATATTGTTAGAACATAAAATCGCTGTATATGAACCTGTCAGAGTAAATCATTAAAATAAAATTTAATATAAATACAGTAAGTCTATATGATTGAAAAAAAAAATGATAAATCAGTTGGTACATTAATATTACATATTAGAATGTAAAATTCAAATTTCTCCATTACTAATAGATACATTTGTTGAAAGAATTTCTAAATGATAAAAAATTGACGATAGAAATATCAAAATGCAAGTTTCTTCATTAATAGATACATGTGTTGATCTATCTCGAAGCCGTGCAGATTGTTCGCATCGCCTTGTAACCTCATCAGCAAACCTCCAAAAGATACATAGGCAGATCTGGAAATAAAATAAAAAACTGATCAATTCAAATTTTTTTCATTGTCCTATATAAATATTCGAAATGCCTATCACCTTTGGCATTTGATATTTGACATATTATGATTGTTCAGATACGATTTAATATTATAATTTTAAAATGTGCTTAAAATTGAGGTTATATTTATATGGTTTTTTTTTCTTATTTAGGCTCTACTAATTTGAAGAACACACAATATTGAGAAACACACAATTAAAAAACATCCTGTATAATACGTAAAGCGGAAAAATTTTTAAATAACAATTTAACTTTGAATTATTAGTATGATATTGTTCTGGCGCCATTTTAAATTTTCGGCGGTTTTGAACAATTTTCATATCCAAGAAATTTTCAAGATCAACAATGTTTCTCTTGCTAGTAGATTTGCGACCGTCATAATTGCAGTGCCGATAGCGGTCGTGATATATAGATTGATCACACAACCAGCTAACCACACTGCCAA